TTGGGAATTGGCTATCATAGTTTACATGACAAGAGTTTGTACTGGAATTCCAAAATTCGCGTGAAAATGAAACAGGACTAGGGACTTTAATTTAATTCTATAATTGAATTTGAAGTTTTTAACTTCTTTTTTGAAACATGGTAATTCCTGTGTAGCGATGGAAACATATTTTTAAATTAGTAAATTATATATATATATATATATATATATATATATATATATATATATATATTGATGTGAGTTTCTGAACCTGGGTTTCAGGCTATTTGCGATCGTCAGACCAACTCAGGGTCACAAACTCACATCATTCCAACTGAATAAGTTTGCTTTATCAATGATATTGAGCGCTTTTCAATAAGTACCGCGCATATACAATATATAAATAATATACATATATAAATTGCATATATATATATATATATATATATATATATATATATATATATATATATATATATAGAGAGAGAGAGAGAGAGAGAGAGAGAGAATTATTTTTATAAAAAAAAAATTATAAGATAAATATGTTATAAAATCACTACAAAATAGCCATTTTGTTTCAACATCCTCGGTGTCTTATCAAGTGATGATGTTGAAGAATATATATATATATATATATATATATATATATATATATATATATATATATATATATACTTCTCGAATTCACTCTCGCGTGGTCATGTGTGACGTCATGAGCTGCAGTGCGATTTTCGCTTCTAGCGTGTTATATGCACGTGTTTATCGTTGCTTGAAATCATCCATGTAAACAGTAACAGCCTATCATCACTGTCTTGTCCGTATATTGATTAATATATTATACAGTAATTGTCATCTTTGATAATGGCTTATGTAAGCCGAAAGCTTAGTTTGGATTAAAAAATATGGATCAATATTGTGCTTTTCTTTCTTCGTTTAATGATAATGTTATTAATCTTATCAGACGTTATGAAAAGAATTTACATAAAATAAATAGACAACACTTGTCTATATTATTTAATGAAACATGTATCAATATATATATATATATATATATATATATATATATATATATATATATATATATATTAAAACACACACACATAGATAGATATGTATGTGTATAAATATAAAAATCTTTAATACTAAATGAATGTAGCTTTATGAGAATTTTAAGAATAGCTTTTAAGCGAATGTACATTTGAAATATTATTTGCCTGTGTATATGTGTACCCGTTTATGTTCGGTGATTGATTGTATGATTTTGTATTTTGTAAATTTGGCTTCCATTCTAATATCAACATTTAATAAACTTGGTTTAGTATGGTACAATGCTAAAAGTATGGCCCAGTCGGCAATTATCATGGTTATAATGGAAGTATTGGTCGACTAGAATAGTTTGCTGACCATTATCACTGTTCCACACCAAGACGCCGATTTCCATTGGGATAACAAAATAAAACAATGTAGCTGTGGGGAGGTGTTAAATAAAACAACATATACAAGATCAAAAAGTATCGGGACTGGTGCTATAAAAAAAGAAAACTACAACATATATTAATTCGGTATTTAATCTCCTTCGAATCAATCTCCACACACATCATCTAGCGTTGTTTCGTTTGATATTAGCATTCCTGAAACTTCTATTTGGGGATAGTGAGTAGCTTCCTTGTTGCATTCTCTTCGATTTCCTCGTCTTCTTGAAATCTTTCTTTCAAGTCGTATTTGATTTTTGGAAAGAAGAAAAAATTGGAAAGAGCGAGATCTGTAGAATATAGTGGTTATCGGAACTTGGGATGTTGTACTTGGCCAGCAACTGCTGCACAATTTATGGTCATTGATGTAACTTCTATGGCGTGGTGAGACGACCACACTCTACACACTCTTCTTCCAAGCACTGCTATAAACAATGGAAGTGAGCGAGAACGTTACAAGTCAGAGTGCGTGCGTGCGTGCGTGTGTGTGTGCGCGACAGTTCAGGATAAATATGTGCAAAACCGTTTCACTCTGCGTTACCATAGCTCCGTTACCATAGCAACAGTCCCGTTACTTTTTGTTCAGACCTCGCAATTTTTCTCATAAGTAAGAATTAACGTTTATATTTTGCGATGATATTATAAAAATATATAACTATTTATGTTTAACATATCTTTAATCTATTTTGCGCGACATAGCATTGTACGATAATACTCTGATTTAGAAATTAATATTTTTTAATATTAAAGTTCAAACAGTACAAGGCTTGACAGCCACTCAATGTAGAGAGTTACTGTTATTTTAACAGTAACTCTCTACATTGAGTGGCTGTAATAATGAATGAAGCGTGTGATATAAATGCTAAAGAGGATAGTAGAAAGAGAATATTATAATGATAACGAGGATAGATAACGTTTGACGCTTGTAGTTAAGATTATATTGTTTACGGAAGTATTAATACAAAATTCTATTCAATAAAATGGTATTTCTTAGTGTTAAAACTTGACTAATGCATGGAATAATAATGCAACACAAAATGTACTTAGAACAAAATGTATTGAAACAAGAAAGTGTACACAATATTTACATATAGTCTTTTGTATATTCCTGGTAAGACCGTTCCTGGAGAATGTGTTGACTGAGTCGCGGTCGGGCAGAGTCTCTGGTTGAATCTCTTGATTCCTTCCTCTCTTCCCGGTACCAACCATATTTATATGGTCGGTACTCCACTGTGCAAATTAGGTGGATCCTACCACAACACTTAGGAAAGAAATGAGTGGAACTTTCTTCTTAAATTTGGATTACCAAGGAAATTAGAGAGATTTAACTCTATAGAGTAGTATAGATGTAAAGGCCTGAACTGGTGGAACTAAAGAATGAAGTCCTTTTGACTATTTATTGTGAGAAAAGCGATAGAGTAGTGACAAGCATGAAACGGGACGTAAAAGCTTTCCTCGGTTTTTTAGTGATAGTTCTGATTCATTCTATTAGTTTCAAGAGGCTATAATTTCCATCCGCCATGGGAAATCTATTTATTGTGACCTTGTGTGCAACATACCATTTTAACAAGTGGGAGTCTCGCAAAAATCGTACATGGCTCTCGCAACTTCCACTACTGGGATGCTTATAGCAATAAAAGCGCAATAGGAAATAGCAAATTGGCGCGACTATCTGCTGAAACTGAACTTTTGTTTATTTTCATACCGAGGCTACAAAGACTGGGAGTTAAGCAAATATGCATCACTCAGTGACGATCGAACTGACTAGTCGATAATGATAATCAACAACCTATCTCGCTAACCATTGTACCATGTTGAGTACCTTCTCAAAATCAGAGACAAAATCAAGATTTGTGGGTCTAACTGTTTCGACGTGGCGTAATGGTTAAATCATCACAACTGAGGAATTAGGTCGATAATCATTTGGCACCCCATAATTGTGTCAATGTGCCAAACTGAATTAAGCCTGTAGTAACAAGTACTTGCGTTGTTTTGTTTAATATTTAAACACCCCCCGCTCCTTCGTGCGCATGTGTAATCACATCAACGTAAATATACATTTTTTTTTCGATGGACTCCTAAACGACGAAACATGTCAGATGAAAAGTTTTTCTATTTATATTATTCTGACTGTTGTCCTCATCATTACTGCCATATTCACGACGTTTCGGCCGTTGTATGCTCGGGCCTTCTTCAGGTGATTGGAATTTCGAACTGAACCCTTTATTTCACCCACCAGGGTAGATTTTCTAGTTCCCCGCGTCATGCATCTTCCAGATGTCTCAGTTATCTCCCTTTAACTCAACTCAAAGTTTTTGTCCGTCACTGCAGTGGCCAGGTATTGAACTCACAACGCTTTGGGTCAAGTCGCTAAATCCCACCAACGCTTTTATCCACCTTGAGGATATCAGTGTTTGAATTTTGGGGACTTATAAACATAATGTCTCATTAAACATTGTTTACAAGAGCTCATGTTACAATCCTGTTGTTATTATTGCTTCTCTTTAGCACTCCGTATTACCGGTTCTCATATTGTATTCATTTCTATGTTTGGCTGGCTCAGGAGATTTTGGTGGCCTAGCATATGTGCTGATTCCTTAAGTTTTCCTTATATTTCTTACCACAGCTGCTCGGGATGGCGTACAGTCCTTAGTCATGTTCTTCTTTATGGGGGGGGGGGTCTTACTCGGAAGAAGTGTCTACGAAGAGTCGAACCACTTTTGAAGGTCGTCCTGATGTTATATGAACCACAGATATTTGGTATTTTCTCCAATAATCCCCTCACATGGACCGAAGATGTTTTCTGAGTGCTGTTATCCTCTTGTGCCATTCTATACCAGTTGGTTGAGTTCCATACCAGGTCACGGTAGTGGTGAACAAAAACTCGGAGAGTTGAGTTAAAGGGAGATTATTGAAACATTCAGAAGAAGCATGGCACGTGGAACTAGAACAGTCTACCCCGGTGGACGAAATAAAGGGTTCAGTTCGAAATTCCAATCACTTGAATAAGGCCTTAGCGTACAAACGGCCGAAACGTTGTGAATATGACAATTAAAGATGAGTACAAGTCCGAACAATGTAAATAATGTAAATAATTACAATACCATTTCAAAAATAAGGCCAGATATTGAAATATTTTCTACTTTCTGCGTATATAAAATAAATAAGTATTTGCTGAAAGGTATATTAATTTATCCATCGAGAATGCTCAGTCGGTTTTAGCTGGTGCATTATGGGCTTGACCGTTTCTAGAAGAAAAAGCAAAGTCAAAAGTATATGAGAAAATAACAAGGGGAATAGAGGAAAAATTGATATTAGAAATAGTTATTATAGCATTATCAGAAGTAATCGAAAAATTGTCAAGATGGCGTCGATCTGGAAGAAGTAAAAAAGATAAAAGATATAAAGAAAAAAAGACGATAAAGAAAGATGAAAGCGGAAAAACCTAATAAAAGATAAAAATAACGAGATGAGAGACAAAAAAAAGCTGTAAGAAACATAATGACTAAAATGAAAAAGAGAAAATAAAAGAGGCTAATTAGGAAAGACAAGAAAAAAGAGGGTAGATAGATAGATAGATAGATAGATAGATAGATAGATATGAATAGACTGAGATTAGATAGATAGATAGATAGATAGATAGATATGAATAGACTGAGATTAGATAGATAGATAGATAGATAGATAGATAGATAGATATGAACAGAATGAGATCTATAGATATGAATAGACTGAGATTAGATAGATAGATAGATAGATAGATAGATAGATGAATAGACTGAGATTAGATAGATAGATAGATAGATAGATAGATAGATAGATATGAACAGAATGAGATCTATAGATATGAATAGACTGAGATTAGCTAGATCGATCGATCGATCGATAGATAGATAGATAGATAGTGAGTGAGTGAGTGTGTTAGTGAGTGAGTGAGTGAGTGAGTGAGTGAGTGAGTGAGTGAGTGAGAATAAAAATAAACGCCTAAAAAAAGAAAAAAGTATGTAAAAAGATAAAGAAAAAAATTCTAAAGAAAGAATGAGTGGTGAAAAAAGAAGGTTGTAAAAAAATACGAAGAAATTAGTAAAGTAATTAATGATGAAAGAAAAAGAATGACTGGAATAATCAATAAAAAGACAAATAAAAAAATAAAATCATCATCATCATCATCATAAATATGATCAATAAAAGAATTTATATCATTATTAATAATAGTAGTAGTAGTAATAGTACTATTATTATTGTTGTTGTTATGTTGCTGATGAAAATGGTGAACGAAAGGCAAAGTTATGTCTTTCCCCTCATTATTTCGTTTCCGGTATTCTTGAGTGGGGCGCCATTTCATATCAAAATAATTGCCAGCATTCTCAGACTCATACAATTATTTTTATTAAACGCAGATAATAGATAATAGATAACCCAGACTTATAGTAATCACCACTCCTCCTCCTCGCTAAAGACATCGCTGATCCCGGTACTAGAGAAAAATTACAAGTACAGCTAAATTTATGGCAACATTTAATGCAATCTTTACATCTTTTACACAAGTTCTCAAGAGTTGGCCCTTCCGTCTCGCGGTCAGTCAAGGAGCGATGTTCTACTAAATATACCACGCTAAATGCAACTATAAAAAAAATATGTTCAAACACAGAAAATACCGATACTTGATGTTAATGCTATCAATCAACATGAACGGTTTTCTTTCTTTTTTTTTTTCTTTCTTAATGAACAGCATTTACAAAGACGATAAGATTGATTCAGAGTCTGAACAATGATGTATCGCCTTTAACGGCCAGTCAAATCATTGACAAATGTAGCATATTCGCTACATACAAATTTTTACACACGGGTAATCCAACAGGAACGCTACGATATATTGTCACCGGTTTTGGGCTAGTAGCGAGTTGAGAGAAATACACTTAAATGAAAATGATAGAAATAAAGAGAGTTATTAGGAAAGTTATGAGAAGGAATATCAATTTGTTGAAAGATTGGATAAATAGACAGACATGAACATAATGATAAAACATAGATAGATAGATAGATAGATAGATAGATAGATAGATAGATAGATAGATAGATAGATAGATGAGATAGATAGATAGATAGATAGATCTGGACAGAATGAGATAGATAGATAGATAGATAGATAGATAGATATATGAACAGATGAGATAGATAGACACATGGACAGAATGAGATAGATAGATAGATAGATAGATAGATAGATAGATAGATAGATAGATAGATAGATCTGGACAGAATGATATATACATATATATATATATATATATATATATAGATAGATAGATAGATAGATAGATAGAATGGACAGAATGAGATAGATAGATAGACAGATCTGGACAGAGATGATAGATAGATATATATATATATATATATATATATATATATATATATACAGATAGATAGATAGACAGATAGATAGATAGATAGATCTGGATGGATAGATAGATAGACAGACAGATAGATAGATAGGCAGACACAGATAGATAGATAGATCTGATAGATGAGATAGATAGATAGATAGATAGATAGATAGATAGATAGATAGATATGAACAGAATGAGACAGACAGACAGACACATAGATAGATGGATAGATAGATAGATAGATAGATAGATAGATAGATAGATAGATAGATAGATAGATAGATCTGGACAGAATGAGATAGATAGATAGATAGATAGATAGATAGATAGATAGATAGATATGAACAGACTGAGATAGCCAGCCGGGCATACATAAAAAAATTCTATGTACAGATTCCAGTCAAGGTAACATCAGAGAACCATAAATTAATCCCATTCGTATTCTTCTATCTCGGTAATTTGTAATGGATGTGCGCAACTTTGTGGCGTATTTAACTAAAGGACCATGTCAGTTGAAAAGGTGCTGTCTAATAGGGAAATGTGTATAAGATTGTCTCAAGGTGATACAATTCAGGAAGGTTTTATCTCAGTTAAAATTTGCGATTTTCATGGTGAAATTGTGAACTACTTTTGATAAAAATGTGTTAAAATTCTGTTTCTCCATGGTGTATGCTGATAGCCTAGAGGTAAGAGTCTCCGACTGATGCCAATTTGGTCGGGTTTCTTGCGCCAGTCACATGTCTGTGTGTGGATGACTCTCTCTCTCTATCTATATATATATATATATATATATACACACATAGAGGGTGTCGGTAAATTGTAGCTATTTTATATTTTTAATTTCGCGCGTCGTCTGTTTTCGATTTTGTCGACTAAACAGCATAGTAGGGTCAGTTGGGCACCATCTATGAGATACAAAGCACCATGATACAATTCACTCCGCCAGAAATTTGGAAACGGCATGCTGTACTATTTGGCTTTCGCTCCGGAAGCTCGAATATGAACATTTCAGAGTATTTGGGTTTCAATCTGAGGACAGTCCAAAGGATTTGGAAACAGTTGGATGAGTCTAATGGTGATTATGAAGATAGGGCAGCACGGAAAACTCATTTTGATAGTTCTGACAAGAAAGAACTCCCGAATTTGTTAGTGAGGGCCTCAGACTCAAAACGAAGTCTACATCAAGTACCTTGTGTAGGTAGTGCTGCCTTGGGTCAAGAGGGTGACTTTTGGAAGACAACATTACTCTGCACTATGTCATTTCTGCGACTACATCACACCTTATATCTAGAAACCTCACTTCCCAGACTGCAACCCCTTGATTGTGAGTCCGTTGTTGAACCAAAGAATGGCATTTTATTGAATAAATTTCAACTGGAACAAGGAGACCAAAAATATTTTTCCGAAATCGACTGGATTTTGTTGTTAAATAATGGCATTTTATTAAAAATGAGATTGTTAAAATTTTTTGTGTTTTTGGTAAATAATCTGTTAAAATGAGATTTGTCCATTTTTACATCAATATATATATATATATATATATATATATATATATATATATATATATATATATATATATCGATCCCGGCATGAAGCAATCAGATGTTTAGCCACACTGATGAGCTGTGAAACAGCGAAACAGTCTTTCTGTGGATGACAATATATATATATATATATATATATATATATATATATATATATATATACATTAAATTCTTATGTTTGACACACAATCACCACACTATCGCGTAGGTTAATTTGTCATTTATCGGAAACTGGCGTAATTCCTGCCCATATCAATCGTCACATGACAAACACCCCAAATACAACTAAGAATATATGACAAATATTGGAAGATTACTCAAAATGTTATACAGCTCTCTTTTCAAAGAAAGATTAAAAAAAAAAAAGAACTGTTTTTTTTTTTTTTATAAAGACAAACAAAAATCTGCAAAAAATGAAACAAATTATCACTAGAAAATGCGTTTTGAAATCCGATTAGAATTTTAAAACAATTAAAAAGACAATCGTCTTTTGGTACTGTCAAGATTTGTGAAACCGTTCTACACGTGACGTCACCTATATTTAAGTTTGAAATACGGCGTTCTAAAATAATAAAAATGTAGCGAACAATTTGTTTTCTGTGATACCTACAGAATTTACTTCTTGATAATTATAAATGAAAGTACGCAAACAAAAAGCAGAAGGAAAACTTTGAAATGTTTATCTACAATTTTGAAGTGGATTCACAACAACTTATTCTATTTTTATTCTATTTTCTATTTCTATTTCTAACAGGTTTTTCTATCGCACTCCTCGCTTGTGGAACTCTCTTCCGGCTTCTTGCTTTCTAGTCAACTTTAATATTCAAAATTCTAAATGCAATGTCAATCGTTATCTTCTGTCTTCTTGATTCCTCTTCCTTTATTGTTCTCACTTCTCGCCTGTGGAACTTTCTTCTGGCTCCATGCTTTTCAATTAACTTTGATCTTCAAAACTTTAAATGCAATGTCAATCGTTATCTTCTGTCTTCTTGATTCCTCTTCCTTTATTGTTCTCACTTCTCGCCTGTGGAACTTTCTTCTGGCTCCATTTTTCAATTAACTTTGATCTTCAAAACTTTAAATGCAATGTCAATCGTTATCTTCTGTCTTCTTGATTCCTCTTCCTTTATTGTTCTCACTTCTCGCCTGTGGAACTTTCTTCTGGCTCCATTTTTCAATTAACTTTGATCTTCAAAACTTTAAATGCAATGTCAATCGTTATCTTCTGTCTTCTTGATTCCTCTTCCTTTATTTCACTTCTCGCCTGTGGAACTTTCTTCTGGCTCCATGCTTTTCAAAACTTTGATCTTTTTAAATGCAATGTCAATCGTTATCTTCTGTCTTCTTGATTCCTCTTCCTTTATTGTTCTCACTTCTCGCCTGTGGAACTTTCTTCTGGCTCCATGCTTTTCAATTAACTTTGATCTTCAAAACTTTAAATGCAATGTCAATTGTTATCTTCTGACTTCTTGATTCCTCTTCCTTTATTGTTCTCTCTCCTTAGTTGTTTTTCTCCTATTCTCTAACTCTCAGTAAACGTTTGGGTCTTAGAGGCTTTATTTACTTGCTTGGGGTGAAATGATTTTATATATTGTTGTGGATTCCGGAATGAAATCCGGTCTCAAATGAATGACAAACGCAGGAATGAAATATAGCAAATAAATGTATTGACGTAATAATACAATCGGTAATACGGTTAGTAGATCCAGAAATGCGGTTAGTAGCAATAATAATATATATACAGTCTGAGAAATTCAGTATCGAAATATGACTTCCTTCTGAGTCTACGTGCTCGCAACTGTGACTCCTACAAAGCGGTTACCTCACACTCTCTCACTCTCTCTATCTCTCTCTCTCTCTCTCTCTCTCTCACTGTATCACTGTCACTCCCGGGTATTTACCGGCAGCAGTACAAGTACACACTGGGCGAGTCCATTTGTATAAAAAGGGTGGATCCCTTAATATATATAAACCCCTTTTTGCCTTTCATCACCATGGCTGATTCTAACTTCTGGGAGTGTCACTCTTTGCGCCTTCTCAGGCTAACATTCGCGGCTGACATGAAGTAGAAAGACTATATTGAATCCATTAAGCGCAGAACTAGATTGGCAGAGAGGTCTCATCATTTTACAGTTGAAATGGCTAGATGTAACCGTAAGTTCTATGCTAACAGTTTCTTCTCTCACACTTCACGCTTGTAGAATTCTAGCTTTCCTGTCAACTTTGATATTCTTATATTCAAAAATGTAAATGCAATGTCATTCGTTATCTTCTATCTTTTTAATTTCTGTTCTTTTATTGTTCTCTTTCCGTAACAACGTTTTCTTTTCCTCATATTCTCTCACACTCTATAACATCTTGCATCTTAGTGGCTTTATTATTTTTTTATTGGAAAAATACAATAAAAATGAAAAATTGCTGATCGAATTCAATAAAACCTGTTTATCATAACTTTCTTTAAATTTAGGTAGATGAGGTCCCTTAAATATTATAATATATCTGACCATCGATTTTTTTTATTCATTGCTGCTTAAATATAATTTATAATCTATATACTTATATGTAAAATATTATTTTCTTTTCTTCAGGGTCACTGGTTCATTTTCTTTATGATCTGTAAATTTCTATGAATTCCATGGTAAGTTAGTAGAGAGTTGTTTCCTTTTGCCTTTCCATCATTTTGATTCTAGAAATATACTTCTCCCAATGACACTGTCACTCAAAACAGAGCTACTACTTTCCTATTTAACCAAGAGCTTTGGTAAGGTGGAAGTGATGCTTCTCCCAAGAGCATTAATGCGAAAATGAACACAAAAGCCTTGGTCAGAATTTGGACTCGGCTAGCTAATTTCACTTTTATGCGTTAATTACCGTTGCATTATCCGCACATCACGGAAGTTACATAAGGTTCAAACATTTCCATACAGGCAACAAACTGATCGGAAAGCATCAATGTATAATATTCACACTATTTACATTGTTCAGACTGTTGTCCCCATCTTTACTGTCACATTCACAACATTTCGGCCGTTGTACTCTCCGGCTTTCTTCAGGTGATATTTGTTTGAATTTCGAACCGAATCCAGAGTAGTCAATCTGCATTCTGACGTTTCTGAAGACATATCCTTAAGAAGGCCAGAGCGTAGAACGACCGAAACGTCATGAATATGACAATAAAGATGATGACAACAGTCCGAACAATGTAAATAGTGTGAGTAGTTACAATATCTCATCTGAGAAATATACACAGATCCTGAAGAAAGCCAGAGTGTAAAACGACCGAAACGTGAATATGGCAATAAAGATGAAAACAACAGTCCGAACAATGTAAGTAATGTATATAATTACAATACCTCATCTCAGATATATAGATATATCCTAAAGAAGGCCGGAGCGTAGAACGGCCGACACGTCATGAATATGGCAATAAAGATGAGGACATCAGCCCGAATAATGTAAATAATTACAATACCTCAACTCAGAAATATAGACATATCCTAAAGAAGGCCGGAGAGTAGAACGGCCGAAACGTCTTGAATATGGTAATGAAGATGAAAACAACAGTCCAAGCAATGTAAATAATGTAAATAATTACAATAACTCATCTCAGATATATAGACATATCCTAAAGAAGGCCAGAGCGTAGAACGGCCGAAACGCCGTGAATGTGACAATAAATACGAGGACAACAGTCCGAACAATGTAAATAGTGTGAGTAGTTACAATATCTCACCACAGAAATATAGACAGATAATAGTAACAAAAAAAAAAAAAGACTTATATCCTCTGGGGACCATTTTAGAAATATGATCACAATATTGTATAC